GCTAGATATTTTGTTCTTGTAAGACATTGATGACCTAATGTCTTATCTCCTAAGCGTGATTTGAATTTAATACCACCTATGGTCTAATTGGATAATCTGTAACGTCTAGTCTTTTAGAATATCTAAATTATAAATTGGAAAGGCTCATTTAAAAAAGACATTTTTTTAGAGGGCAGAGAATTGACTAGGCATAATGTTGCTAGCATCCGTATCATTAGTAAACGAGGAAGAACCGAGTATGCCTTATTTACAGTTGTACGGTTAAGGATTGCGTTACGACGATTCCAACCTAATGACTCAATGAACACTGGATGTTAACTACCTTAAAGCAGGCATAATGAGGTTAGAAAAATGGCTATCGCTAAGAGAAGTCATTAGCCATGTGGTTCTTTAAGTGGCATTTAAAACTAATTCCGCCTTTAGTTAATGTAAGCGATGCAATGGCAAATTTAAAACCTTAACATTCAGCCAGATGTCTAAAAGCCTAAGAATATGAATGGCAATTCATAATGACCTATAAATCCTGGAAAGAGTTAAAAACCAGGCCAAAATACCAAGCATAAGTCGAAACGATCTGCTAAGTAAGCATAAAAAGCCGGAACTTGAGGTAATCAAGAGATGAGTCCATGTTGGCCTACGCGAGAAACGAGGTATTAAATCAAATTGCACAATGTAAGAGCCGAATAATTAGGCCGAATTAAGGCAAATGAGAATAGAGTTATGAGGCATGATTTCGCTAGGGAAGATGTTTTGGACCTAATGATATGTATTTGTGATGAGAAACAATTGCTTGCTGGGATAGTAACAAGATTAATTAGACTTAGATTATGACATGTTACATTGCACGTGGCAAACCATATCACCTACATCGTACTGGGATATCACACACAAGTAGATACTGGGAAGGTATTGAGACAATTTGGTTCTTTCAGTGATATTTTCTGTAATGATTTTTGAAATTTTCCCATTAATTAGGACAGCACCATGCACACTAAACGCATTATCACATCACCACAGTTACTGTTTGCCGATTAATAAACACAAATCAATGAGTGGATGGGCACGCGTGTCGCGGATTAACAGCTATCGCGAAAAGCAGTGAGTCCTGTTTACTGACCTGACAGTGGCAATGACTCATCCCATTTTCATTGGTTACTGTTATCAGACGCCTGTCAACCGTTCACTCGCCCACACACTAAGACACTAAGACACACACTAATAAACGGTTGTGTCCTCTGTTGCCTCTCTTCACTGTATTCTCGGATTGTTAAGGGCTTTTTACTAGAGGGTTGTGAGGAAGTGCTAAGACTCTAGCTACTGAATTCGTATGCGCTCGTCAGAATAGGCCGAAAACGTGCAAGCGTGTACGTGATTTTCATGGAAAATCATCCTCCAGCTTCAAAGTCTATACAATGACTAGTGACTTGCGCTGGCAGTTTTAGGTCAATATTTCCTGATTGCTAACCTTACGTAAGAATGATAATTAGCGAACAAGGAGCTTCCTCCCTAGTAGTCAATTTGACAGCGTATTGGCTAATGAGTGAATGTAAATCCTGAAGATTGGAATTTAACCACAGGCATTATGGGCACCACTAATGTGGCCATGACAATTACTTTGCTGAAACCATTCAGCCTCATTAAAAAGAATTACGCGATGTGACTCGGTTTTTACGCTAATGCATCACAGGTTATAATCTTCGAACAGTGAGCAACATTGGTTTGTGTGAAGTTGAAAAAAAAATTTGAAAATTCGATAAATTACGGTGCTATATTTTTTACCCATCATAATTGAATAAATGATTATGTTCCGATAAAGTATAAATGAACTTTTTGTATATTATCTACAAGTCTTTTCTAGACAAATTTAATTGTAGAGAATTGCCATTAATGGTTTTCCCGGCCATCAGCCAACTGCCATTATTCTTCACTAGTCCTTAAATACACGCCTCTGTGAATTGCATCGAAACCGATTAATTTGTGGGTGACTAACTACCTGAAACTTTTTCCCATCATTCCATATCTTATGTGCACTATTACCGACTTCCTAACTGCTTTACTTGCGGAATATTGCGGATTTCGCTAACAAGTTGATTCGCAGAAAAATAAACTATTTGACGGTTGAGTTTTTAAGTGCGGGTATTGCAGGTAGTGGATGACTGACATAGCTGTCGACCGCTGGAGTCTATGCGAACTTGTACAAAATACTAATGTCTAAAGATGTAGAAGAGTGAAATTGGTGATGGGCGTGGGAAATCGGTAGGCGTTGACGTGTTGACGGTCTCTCATTACTGATATGCTCGCTTTGCAATGAATGCACTGAGTTGGAGAATGCGGCGAGGAAAGGGGTGAACTTGAATCATAAAGATTCATTATATAACCCTGTAGAATCAGAGTATTAACTTGTGTTAAAGTATTTGCAGATAAGGTCAAATAATATGCATGATGACGACTGCATAAACCGTGATTTCTACCTCGGTTTTATAAATTCAGTCATTCAAGCACCAAGACATGTCTTAGATTCCACGACGCGTGACCGGGCTTTACAATGTTATGCTAAGGGGTGACCACAGTGGCACGCACGTTCTTTGTACCTCTTAATGGGATGTCCTTAAAACCGTACATTGGAATATTCAAGTGCATAGATGACAGGATAGTTTCATGAATGATTTAAAAATATAGGACGCTGAGAGGTCATAACGACCATAAGAGCGGAATAGGAAGAAAATAGGGGAACTGGTAAACGATTTGCTTGATGTCATCGAAAATCAACCGTTCAAAACCGAAACATTTCACAGACCAAAATGTGCACGTTATTGAACAGTCGATGAAGAATTATAATCAAGTCCGCGTTGACTGGTTGTGTTTGCGCCACAGTTACGAACGTAATTACAAGTAGCATATGGCAGTCTATGAGAACATGTTTATCTTACTCTTATTCTTTGATATTCTGTAAACCTACGAAAAACACGAACGACTGAAATACCGCCATGTCTTCAAATAATTGAAGTATTTGCAAATTATTATTTTTCACACATCTTGGACAAGTGCATTTACAATGCTAAAACGTCAACTAGAGCGAATCTTATCGTTGATGCAGAATTCAACAACGAAATATCGACTAAACCATTTTGTAATCTTCCTAACAACAAGCGCTCAATCAGGCCCGTTATACAGATTCGCTTAAACGCAATTTATTAAATATTTTAGCACTTGTTAACGTGCGTTGTGCTCAAATTCAGGCAGCCACTAATTGCATTGACACTACATCTTCTCATGTCTCCGCTCTATCCAAAATATTTTGCTTATTCCTGTAATACTGCTCTACATTCAAGCGTTATTAAACCTACCAGTTTAGACTATACAGACCAACCAAATTAGCCACAAGTCTACGAAAGTTTCGGAAGGTACAACTCAAACGCCTTGTCTTTGGTTAACCACAAGAAGTCCAAAACAGCACAAGGCCAAAAAGTACAAGTTGAAGAGAAACCTGTTGAAACAGAACTGGCATCTACGCCTCAGTGCTCAGCTGTGCGGTCACGCGGAGAGATGGCATTGTGCGCGAGGTTACTATCTTCTGATTAAAGGCCAACGCGTGAAAAATTTCTTTATTTTTTGGTTATATTATATATCTCATTAAGCACATTTAAAATCCACGATATTCTGAATCCAAATGATCCAAAATTTTGTGCACTTTTTGGGTTCTAACCATAGCGATGGTTCAAGAATTTAGATTACGCGTTGCAGACTTAGCGGGCAAGTTTACACAGTAAAATGAAAGTCTTCAGACACTTGTCACTTCGTCTGGTGTCAGTATCTTTCGTTACTTGATTGTATCAATAAAGAAAATAAAAGACACGGAAGGAAATGTAACCAGGTTCATTGCGCTAGTAAATTACATACTCACGAATTTTATTCACATTTCAATCTCCTGCCAAGTCGGCAACCTTTTACTGCTTTTGTTTTATACTTCATTGCTGGCATAGAGAATCACAGTTTTCAGCTGATATCAAGAAAAAGCATGAATTTCGTGGAGTATCTGCTGTTCCTGCAATCAGACGTCACGTATGTTTTAATGTCAGACGTAATAAAACGTAATGCATCGAAACAATTGTCATGGTCTCATGCTGCAATTTAGTAACTCTTGTGTATATTTAAAAAATGCATTTTCAAATTTTTTTTTTTTCAAATAATCTAAAATGTGCCACATTCCTGAAAATAAGCTGAACAAAATTTGATCTGCCTAAATAGGCGAAGCTGTAACAATTGAGTCAAAATTATCTGCTACCTTGAAATCCATCGTTACGTTTGTCACAGTTTTCATAAATCACAGCTTACAAAGCACAATACAAAGAGATAACCAGTTATCTGCCTCCGGTAGGGATCTCGCAACCATGTTACAAAAGAAAGCAGATTTAATAAGTTCCAATTCCAAAAAAAAATTTCGAACACATTCCATCGAAAGCTGATAGATTTCACAGGTAAACAGACCTACACCCTTTAGCACTGTTTGTTGTCACTAATTTTGTTTAACATATTTTACCAGAATATCCTCAAAGAAGCATAAATCTTGTAGGTTATTGTGACATGCGTTGTCTGAACGCTTGACCTGGTTGTGCAGCACTAATTATTATATAAATAAGAGGCGTTCTAACATGAAAGTCGTACTCTCTTGCTTTGCATCTAGCAGTTTAACAAGACAATGAAATCGTTGGCCTGCATTCTCACTCTGATTTGGCATGTGTTGGCAAATGAGGCACATCAGAAGAATCGTGATAACATCCTTTATTTTCACAATTGCGCACGCGAAAATGTTCAACCACCTGCAAGCAACATGCGAAAGATGGTAAGCAATGTTTCTGAAATTGCATCACCTGCAAAATAATGTGTGGTTCTAGAATAATGAGTAGGACATTCTCCTGTCATTAAATAAACAATGTGCTATATTTGCTGTATACTTTCAAGTTTTGTGTGACATGTTCATTCTAATCACACATTTTTAGAACTACTCGGCGGAAATGGAACGGTTGGCATTTGATTGGGTGAGACGCTGTCGAAACGAACATCCTGACCCTGAAATTTACCCGCAATTCAAGGGAACCGGCCAAAACCTAGCACTTATGCAAATCGACTCACCTGATTGGGTGACGATGGCTCAGATTTGGTACGATGAAGTGACGGGTTATGACTATGCCAGTGACAGATGCCGAGGTGATTGTGGTCACTATAAACAGGCAAGTTGTCAGTGAAATGCGTCGGTTAATGACAAACCTACAATATGATGATTTATGTATAAATGCTATAAATACATGAGCATTTGAACAGCGTAGCACATGAAAGTTTAAGTACTAGAGTGCGCTAATACTAAATCCTTGCTCTACCGTCCCACACTTTGAAGCGACATTTTATCTTATCGGGTAACGTCTACTGTGCATTTTTGTGAAGATGGTGTGGGCGACATCGCATGAAGTTGGCTGCGCAGCTTATCGATGCGACTCACTTAATCCTGAATGGAACCCTCCAGCTTACCTTCTGGCCTGCCAGTACAAGCCACAGTGAGTCAAATGGGATCGCTTTGCAATGCCAACATTGGATTTCTTTCATCTGACTGAAACGTTAAATATATAATTGTTGTAGAGGAAATTTCGTCGGAACTAGGCCGTATGAAAGTGGACGCAGTTGCAGTAGATGCCCTGAGGGGTCGGTGTGTGAGCGTAACCTATGCGTGACGAGACCTCCCGATACCCACGAGAGACCAGCTGATTCAGAAAATCCAACTGATTCAGAAAAGCCAATTGACAGAACTCGTCCATCTGCGAGATGTCTACCTCGTCGACTTGGCCGCGCTCCACTTGATCCTTAACGATTACCCCGCTCTTCTGCTTGTTCACTTTCGTCTGAACTGTTGTTCAATTAATCAGTTTAATTGCCCATTCACTTAAAAATATACCTAATGACTAGTTAAATATATGAGTGTTGTCTTTAAATATTGCAATCACTGAATGCAATTTTCGGTGATAGCACAATCCGGTGGCGTGTAAAGCAATTCGCTTATGTTAATATGCGCTTGCACCTCAGACAAGAGACAATAACCACTGAGATCCAAAATCATGTACCACCTTTTCCATTAGTTTTCTTAAAAAGATCATTTCAATAGACTATTTACTGGAGAAGTCTAAAACAAGAGGTTACAACGGTTTTTGTAAGCTAACCATATAAAAATATCAGAACAATTTTTATAACAAAATAAAGGACGTTATTTCGTAAATTTATTTAAATCGTTTATAATTTAATGCCCTGTTCAAATAATGGATACGGTTTTAATGAATGGCTTTGTTGTGCCCATTACTGCCAATATTTAGGTGGCAAGAGATTTTGACATGGAAAAATAATCCTACATTTAATAATTTCTAAAGAACCCCCTGTTCAATAGCCACTCGAATTTTTTTCAACTTCCCTATTATCAGGAAACTCGGCTGGCTAAGTATTCAGATGATGACGAATTAATTCGAGAACGAATCACTTGTGCAGTTCGGACTACATGCCGTAGGAGTGCACTGCGGCGAATTCCACAGCCAGTTCGCTTGAATGGTTGTTTATATTAATTTTAATTGAAAGTAGCATAGCTGCTTAAATGAGTAAGCAAACGATGATAATCTTGCGGACATCTACGTTTAGCGACACAGACGTACTCATTTATATCAAGTAGCTTTAATTTAAAACTCAACCGATTCAGTTCACAAATGTGATTCAATTTAAACATAACTTAGACTGTCTAAGAGGGAAAGGAATTTCTTCGTCAGGTTTTTAGCTTTTGAAAACAACATCTCAACACAGTTATCACGCTAAGTATTACATTCTATGAGCCGATTCCGCAATATGATTACCATCAGAAAGTAGATATTTTGCTAGATTGTCTCTTGTTTTAAGCATGATAATGCCTTCGTATACTATGAAAGCGAAAATTGAGTGCAATTTCAAGGAGACATTAACAGCACAATTTTAGTTTTCGCAGTGATTTCTGCAGCGTCTGTGAGTTCTTTTCAGCGTCTGTGGATTTCACCTGCACCTCTACGCACAATGCAACGAATTTCATTGCCTGTTTTGAACTTTCCATGTGTGATGGGACTTTGTAACTACATTGTAAAAGTGTATGCAAAAGTGAGTGTCTCTGAAAGCGATTATCGTGATACCTTAATCAAAATTCTGCATAACTAGCCTATGTTTATTAAAACACATTTAATTTTGTTGAAAAAATCTTTTTAAGTATCATCGTCCTTCCTTAAATAATGCTTCATTGCACAATTAAAAAAAACACTACTACGTTATTTGTAAAAAACTGCGTGGCCGCAATGTGGATGCAGTCCTTTCTCAGGTTTTCCATAGGTCAAATGTCTGGAACCGATTTTTCAGCAGTCTTTACTTGGAATACAGCGAGCTTCACAAGGATCTAACTGATAACCATTGGTGTATCAGTTTAAATCTCAGGACCTGACACATCGATCAATATACGAGAAGTAAAAAGCGTCATTATGTAGATGGTGGTGAAATGGTGGTTATAACGGATGCCACCTAAGATTATCGCCATGCACGAGTCTTTTACAGTATTATTAACGTGTGACAACTGAATAAATGCACTCTCACTAGCAGATATCAAACTGATACTAATGCTGGAAGTGATATAATGTAGCTACCAAAATGATAAACATCCACTTTTTCGAAAATATTATTTCGCAGTCAGTAACTAAAGTCCGGTTCAAAACCAACAACTAGATACAAATTCTGCACCAATTAATGAAAATATACCATAAATAGTGCACCACAAAAAAGTAACTTAGGTACAAACACATAATCGAAAGAAATAGCACAAGTGTGTGTAGTGGCTTGATCTTAGCACTACCTTACAACCCTCTAATTAACAGCCCAAGACAACTCGAGTAGAGTGGAGAAGAGGCGAGAGCG